CCCCCCTCACCCTCCCCTATCTCTATCATCCTCTCCCACTCTCACCCGAGGAGCCTATCCCTCTCAATCGCATCCTCATGCACACAGGCATACAGATCCAGATATATACACACATTTAGACCTACACATATTCGTAATACACACATATGCAGTATGGAGGAGAGGCTAGTATATACCGGACACGTCACTGGGGCAATGCACTCACGTGGTAGTGACGTCACGAGACCAAAGGAGAGGAAGAGAGCGTCATCGACCAATTGGGTGGGTGAAGCCGCAGCCGTTGACCTATACTACTAAACCAACCAAAGCCGACCCGGTCTACTCTGTGACCTCGTAGATTGTTGTGCATCTACCACATTTATCCTATCATCCAATTCAGGGTCTCATATTTTTCACTCATCACTCATCACTCAACACCACCTTCGCCCTCTCCCCTCCCCTCCCCCGCTCTCTCTCTCTCTCTCCCACCAACCCCCCGACCAGCAACCCCTGTCCTTCCACCATTTTTCTCCAACACACCCCATCTTGTTCTTTTTCTTTTTCTTTTTCCATTTCTCTCCTGCTTCTTTTTCTTCCATCTCCCTCCCTTCACTCCTTTCCCCTCTGGCCTCTTCCTCTTCTTTCCCTCCACTCATTTATTACTTTTTTACTCTCTTAATTCAAACCATGCATTTGGTACCTGCAGACATCCCACGCACTCACCGATTCACCTACTACGCGATGTATTTTCGTATGAAAACCACCTAGAGACGTTTGGACGAATGCCAAAATGTCGAAGTATCTTTTTGTGTGTGTGTACACATGTATTTGGGAGACGCTGTTACAATGGGAGAGGGAGAGGAGTGGGAGGTACTTGGTGGTTATATCGATAAGCCGCTTTTACAGTTTTTTTGCACCTCTCGGTTCCCTTTTTTACAGGTAGTCAGCGCACAAACGGTTAAGCCGATTATATGGCGTAAGGGGATTAGTAATGAGGAAAGAAGAGACAGTCATAGGTGGATGGGGGTGTAGTTTCCAATTTTTGGGGATTTTTGGGGGACAGGGATTGATGGGGTGAATTTGGAATAATTTTTCAGATTTTTTGGTGGGTTTTTGTCTCAATCCAATTTTAAGCAATTTCAACTGAACAATTTTAGGGGAAAACTTCTTTTCCATCACGAATTGAAAATTAGCGTTCAACAGCCCACGAAATTAAAATATTTTCCTGTCAACTGACGAAATTGACGATGAAAAATCTCAATCTAAATTCCTTTGAGCTTTTCACTTGCCATTGGCTTCTGGAAAAACATAATCAATACTTTGAAACAATTCACCTGAATCAATACGTAATAAAGCTGTCAGAATGACAGATGACTGTGGAAATAGGAAATTTCATTGGGTCGACGGTGTATGATACCCTGAAAATTGAGAAAATATTTTGCCAGGTTAAATTGCTCTGGATACCTCGCGTCATCCTCTTTTTTTCGGTGTTCTTTGTGTTGTTTTCCGGTGGGAGGGTAAAGAGAGCATCGGCCAGGAGTTTCTTGGGCGTCGACACAGCTAGCTCAACAACCCAATACTATATACCTCTGCCCTCCCCCTCCTCCTTCCTAACACTAACCCACCACCCGACCACCCCACCACCCCCTGGCTCCTGGTCCCGACTACCATTTTCGGATCGATGAACGCTGCACCTAGCTTTTCCACACCGCAGCCTCCCTTTGCCAGCAACTATTCCGCACCACCTACAATCCACTGCACCCTCAGCACCCAGGTACATTCACCCTTGATCCTCTTTCCCCTCTCACCCATCCCCGCAACTCTTTACGCCTCCTTTCATGCGATCTATTTATAATCGTCGACGGTTCTAACGTTCACCCCTCGAAGGAACTCCAAACACAAACATTCGGTTCACCGTTGATGTCGTGAGTGACCTTGATGCGCCCTTGGCAGTTTTTTCTCCTTCAATTAGACTAATTGAAGATATTTTGAGACATATTTTTCTAAATATGAATTTTTCCGCGTGGGTCATCATTGACCTACACAAAAATTGAAGTATTCATCAATTTTTCCTACATCATTCCAATCGGTTTTATATTTTTCTGCGTTTCTTCTTCGTTTACAGAAAAAAACTTGAATATTAGGAGGCCTCCCGTGCACTTGGGTACATTCACCCTTGATCCTCTTTCCCCTCTTACTCATCCCCTTAAATTTTTATGCCTTTTTTTACGCAATGTATAAATGCTATCGGTTCTAAGGCTCATCCCTGGTAGGAACTCCAAACATAAACATTGCGTTCAGTGTTAACGTCTTGAGCGACCTTGACGTGTCCTTGGGGGAGATATTGAGGGAATTTGTACAAGTTCTAATGTCGGTTCTACTGTTGACCCAAGGAGAGAATCCCGAACATAAACATTGGGTTCAGTCTTGATGACTTCACTGATTTTTATGTGCTCTTGGAAAAACTTTTCAGGAAATTCTTTGAAGAGAAATTATTCGGTTCAGGTAAGAGCAGCGGGTGATGGATGCAAAGAGCCTGTGAGTGCTCGAGTTCAATAATAATCGATTGTCTGAAGATTCTTTACGTTAAAAAGGTACTCCAGGGGTCTTTGTTCTCGGTGAACCCCCAATGGGGTAAATATAGAAACGTCAAGTGAAAAATTTTTAATATACTTCAAATTGAATATGTAAAAGTTTTGAAAATTATTGGCATTATTTCTGGAATCAAAATCAATCCACATGAAAATTGATGATTAATTATCACCAATAACTTCAAGTTCAAGACAATTACGCGAATAACTGTCGTTATTTCAACTAGAATAAATGAAATGGTGAAGTGTACGTCATTTAGTGGCATTAATTCCACCATCTTGGCACATTCTCAAGGCACACGGAATGAACTTAACCAAAAAAATAAGGGCGAGCAATAGTGATAGCCAGAAGGGCATGCGTGATCTAGCAACGTAAATAATATGAACGGCAAATCGAGTGGAGATCGATAAAAAAGTAAACCTGGCCAGTCCATTTACTGGAGAATAAAGGTCGTCACTATATACAATCATCTGCTTATGGCTCGTGCAATGTGTCTACATGATATATTGTTGTGAAATGTCGATCGACCGGAAATTTCCCCGAACGACGTTCATTGTTCTGAGCCTCTTTATCCTCCCTCAGCTAATGTCCGGCTAATGTCCGTCTATCATATCCTATTTTTATCCTCTCATTGTCTGTTCAAGATTACTTGCGAAAAGCAATAGCTTGTTTCGAGGGGCAAACAATGTTGACGTTACAACAATGGAATCCAAATTTGACCAATAAATTCGTCTTTCCCAGTTGAACCTCAGAGAATATTTGTCTTCAGTATACATTCTCCATGGGATATATCAAAGATACCTATAATAAATAAATTTGGACAACTCTATATACACATATACATATTATGTAACTTTCCAATTTATAATCAGTTGATTTTTATCTCTCATTTGCTATTCAACGACTTAAGATCGGATACTGTTTGGATCTCATTATCCGGACTTATTTATTATGTAATAGAATAAGTCCCCCGATGATATTGTTGATCTCCTATATAATATCTCCGCTCTAATCTATCAGATTAGGATTGGAATTTTAATTTGTATGCAGCTTAAATTTTGGCAGTTCATTATTTTGCTGAGGTATCATATAATATAATAATACCCTTTCCAAAGAAATTCAATTTCATGATATATTATATGGGGTATTCTAAGTGGAGTCAACGAGGTTCACATCCTGACCCCCTTCGATTGTATCGCCGATTTTTCCCCATATTGTACACATTATTAGATGACTACTCGATTTTTTTGAGATTTTTTTTAAAGAGCGTAACTCTTGTAAATATTAACCGATTTAGAATTTTTTTTTTCATTTTCGTTTTTCCATCGATGATAAATGAATATGGCTATATTTTTTTTTGATACGAGGTTCCATGAGATTGTATCATAGAATAGAAAAAAATCCCGCTTTTCGCGACTTGGAACCGATAATTTTTATTTTTTAATTCAGTGAATTTGTGGCGCCAAAAAAGAAACTTCCGCCACAGGAAATCATGGTTCTCCCATTTTATCCCACCTTTTTGAGAGATATGTAATTATGCATTCTTTTCTGAGCTATTTTTTCTGAACTAAATCATGAGAAATGGCCGTAGTACAATCATGCCATCAAGTAATTGTTATTCGAAAGATTGTAATAATTTCAGTGATAAGATATTGTTCATCAAAAAACAATACAGTGCGCCAGGATAAAGAACTAAGGCAATTTCATCATTTTGTGGGCAAACTAAAAAAATTGTCCTACGTATATTATGATGTGTAATTTCATTTTTTTTAATTTTCCAAAAGATTTGTCTAAAAAAACTTCCACGCCCCTTTTCTTTGACCATATACCACAAAACAGGCGCGTGAAGGGCACGTGAATAGAGTAGAGCACATTGAATTATGAATTTTTCTTGGTGCAGTTAAAAAAAGCTGTGAAAAGTAAAACGATGTGTCTGTTATTTTGGTGTTTTTCCGGAAAAAACTCTCTCCTATTAGTAGACAACAACCTTAGCCTTGGTAAAGGTCAACTAAACGATGGCATTCGTGCCAAATTAATGAATTCTAGTTAGACACTGATCGTTGATTTTTCCCAGGCACCAAATTCTTGTGCAGCGAGGTCATAGCACCGATAAGAAGCGAGGTAGACGACATTTGTCTGCAGATAATCAACTTCGAAGATCTCAGCGCCCAGCCAACTCCACCACCAGCAGCACCAGCACCCAGTCCCGCCAACAACAGACTAGTCACTCGATGTAAGTACCACAGATCACCCTTTCAATTCCATTATCATCGGAGAATTATTCCATTTGTCATCTCGCGGTGTAAAATTTCATTCTTCCGCGGTCCACCATCAATTACCGATAATAGTGCTTGAGCCTTTGGTTTTCTCCGTCCTAGTTCGCGTTTGATATAGTAGAAGTGCTTCATTTTTGATCCAACCATGAGACGATGATAAATGATCCTCCAGGATGAAGGAGGATGATTCTCGTTTAAAGAATGGGGATCTGAGGTGAGGATGATAGCAAACTCTGGCTAACAAAAGAAAAATTGGCGAGAACCGCTGCTCTGCTCTGTTGTCTCCAGAAAAGTTTCTGCAAGACTTTAAGGAGCCAAAAACCACGGAAAGGTCAACACTAAGAGCTCCAGAGCTTCAAAATCTCGAAAGGACAAAACAGTAAAGCTACTTTGCACCAGTTGTCCATCTTATTTTGGTAAAATGATTTTGACATTCTGACCTTAACCTACACGTCAGGCGCCAATGTCATAAAGAAGGAATTCATCACGACTTGACCCCGTCGTCAAACAGCCCTTGATGTGCCTCGAGGAGTGAACTAGGTTAGGACAATCGTCATAGCATTCGAATCCTACAACAATTGAGGTTAGACAACACCCGCATAATGTGGCCGACATATTGCAGCAACCAAACGACTTCTTTGTCCTTACGCTGACTCTAATTACTTGATCAGGATTGAAATCTCAAGCTGGACTTAATCGCTCACACTCTTAAATATTCCCAATACATAATATGATGTGACAGGCGTGACAGAATAAAACATATCACATAAAAATACTACAACACCAAATAAAAATTAAATTCCGCCACATACCAACAGATAATTATTCCCGGAGAATGTCAATAACATTAATAACATTTTATCAATATTTCTTTGTACAATATTTATCGGACATATTTTGTCTGTTAATATTTAAGGGTGTTGCCACTCAATGAGGGCGGGGTGGGTGGTGAGGTGGGTGGCGATACTGGCCACGTCAACATCCTCGCACATAGTTTTGGATCTGGAGTATTAGTGCACCTTGTACATAGATACAAACGTTAATATCTATTTTTAGATTGTTGAGCCACGTCGGACCAGCCGGTTCGAAAACGCGTCTCAACTGTTAACCCTGACCTGGTAATAAACGTTTACCTACGTTTCGCCACCGATGGGAAATCGGCCGGCTACTGGGCGCCCGTTAAGTCCATTTAATGGAGACTATTTTATATTATCAAAACTAACAGTATCACCCACTCCATCATCGACTTGGGATATTTTTTTCTTCTTTTTCTCTCATCACTCTCGAGTTCGTGTGCACTTGACTCTCGGGTGTAGTGTCACAGACGTCGTCAATCTTTTCGGACATTATATTTCTGGGTTAATCTCCTGGTTTCAGGTTGTAAACTGTTATTTTTCACCATAAAATTTCTATCGCGACACACACGGTGGTCCCTCGGTGCAGCCTGAGATCTTGTCAAGCCCACGCTGATCTATTATCGCGGACAAAAAGCTCAGCGATTCTCCAAGGTGATGCTGACATGTTACGTCGCGAAGCAATTCGTTCGCAGATGATCTCTAAGATTATAGATTTCAAATTGCGGATGATGCGACACTTTTACTCCGGAAATTCTTTGAGTGCTTCGCATTTAATGCTCAAAGATGATTTCAGTAGCGATGCGGTAAAGCAGTTCAGATCGATTTATCGAAGTTATTAATCGAGGTTATCAGTGAAAATGGGCCTCGAGTGTAACGCACCTCTCATACAAAGGATTCAAGCCTCAAAATATATATAATGACTTATTTGTAATGAAGTAGAATGGTCTCAGTCGCAGTGGAGTAACTCTAATTCCAAAAAAGGATAAAGATAAATCGACATGACTTTCCCAACTAAAAAAGACAAGAGGAATAACTCGACTTGAGTTTTGAGTATCAAACAAAATTTGAGACGCCGAGTTTTGTGAAATGAATAGCTGCAGATGGTGAGGCTATTCTTATGAGCACCCGAAATCAAATAAAATTCATTAATTAATCTGCAGAAATCCAAACAGAGGAACGACCATCAGTTTGTCGGCTCTCCCGTTACATGAACTGTTTTTCGACTTGAACCATTTTATCGCTTCGCTGCTGATTTGGATTAAGAGACTTGGATTAAAATCCCGGTGATTCCTCTCCCTCTCTCTCAGAATTCTAATTGTTTTCTTTCTTATGAATGCAGTCGATCGAGCAAGAGCATCATTCCGCGCTGGTTTATCAAGAACTGGAGTAGTTGGACCACCGAGAGTGAGGAACCGACCACGTGCGCCATCAACAGTGCCTCAGCCACGTCATCTTCCTGACGGGACCATTTTAGATGAAGATGCGTCAGAAAATTGGTGAGTTATCAAAACTCGTCGGATGTTTAGCTTTTCAATTGCCTTCAAACGGATATTTAGTCCACGTCAGTAAATAAAACTAAATGCCGATATATTGATTTGCCATCGGAATGATAGGTAATATTATAAAGAAGACTTCGTGCTTGTCTTCGTGACTCTTGGATTGTCGTATGTCCTATCGTGTCGATGGGAGGGGAGATGGTAGAAATTCGCGTTATATCGTGCCAAGCAGTCTAGTTCTGGATTGTAATAAAGCGGTTATACTTTTGGGAAAATAACATCCAGAGAGCGAAAAATCTGAGAAAACACGGGGTCATTGGGGATATATGAGCAGCGCATTTCCTCCCCAGTATGCCACCCCTTGGTTATGTTTTTTTCATTTTATTCCACTCGTAACGCTTTACTTTCATCGTTTTTCTCAATTGACGACTTATTTCTGTCGTTGAAGGGTGTTATGTATAGGGGCGAGTGGTAATTTCTTTCATAACGCCAGTTACACGTTAATATAAAGGTTCATCCCCATTTATGCGAAATTATCGCTCATCTCTTAGAAATAAATTATGAAAAAACTCCACATTCGTTAAAAAATCTTTGACCTTCACTATAAATTTCTGTCCCAAATTCTTTAAATGTAGTTTCTTTTTTTACTGTACACGGAAAAAAAGGAGATGTTTTTTTATAGATTCTAGAATTTACGAGTTACAAATTTAGTATTGAAGAAATAGACATGACATGTATCGGAAAAATGTGAAAATTGAGAAGAAAATCTGATGAGATGTATTGAAAGCACTTGGTATGGGTGCACAAAAATTAATAGTTATCCCATAGCTCTTTTGGCTCATATTATTATTTTGTAATTTTTCTTAGAACAGCATCAGGATAAGGAGAACAGTTTATATAAACAGAAATAGAGAGAGAGATGAATGAACAAGAGCTTTTTGTAAAATGGGTCCAGAGCATGAAAACTTTAGTTGCTATGAGTCAGTAGAGTTGCAGAAGTCATAGGAGAAAGATATACCTTCTGACCGCGCTTAATAAAAGTTAACGTCTAAGCCTAATTAGTTTTATTATTTACTAATTCCTGTCCATAATCCAATAAGATGATGAAAAAGACAGATAATTCCCAGAATTTCGTCCGTCAAAACAATAGGATAGGGTGATTTGATTCGCTATTGTTCGAGAGATAAAGTTCACCATTATGAATTGATTAGTTTTGGAATCTTTTTGTCATCTTATTTTTTTCATGTCCGATTGACCCACTGTAAAAATTGGACAGAACCAGACAATTCGATCAAAATAAATGATTTCTGCGGTAGTACCTGCGCAGTTTATCGGTTCGATCGCAATTTAATTAATCTGCACTTCTTGCTCAATCTCTGAACGACTTTCCGGTCTTTCCGAACTATCCAACCACCAATACCACCGCAACAGGCTCAAAAAGCCTCCAGGGAAATTAACCACCGATGAGTGCGGTGCATGATTAAAAACCATTTCCCAGAATATTGAATTCCTAGGGAAGTAAAAAATTAACCACTGGATATCTACCGATGGATAAAATTGAATGATCTGCCAACTGGGTTAGGCTATGGTTCCACGAGCCTAACAAACGTTTGGAACATTTCACCGAGGGAAATCACGCGAGTACGCGACATCTGCGAACAAATGGGAGACCCTGAAGAGACCCTGAAGAGGACAGGGGATTAGCCCGAAGGGTTGGATGACACAAACATATACACTATTTTATTCTATATATCACGTTGCGGCCTCTTCAAGGTCTTTAAAATCTCAGCACGCGATTGTAATAACTACAAATCAAATGGAAAAATTTCTCCTTCATTCTTGAAAATTCCCGTCGTATGACAACAATAATGGAGTGGCAAGTGAAAAAGCCTAAGAAAACATTTAAAAGTTTCATTTAAATTGTTCTGTGTTCAGGGTTATGTGGGGGCTGAAGTAGGGGGTGGGAAACAAAGAAATTGTTTTACCACTGCAGTTGTTAAACTCACGTCCGTATAACACGTCATATCGTTATATATCGATTGGTAGCAAAGTCTGACCTAACACTGACATACTTGGAGGATTTCGAGGCCAGCTGACCCTCCGACCTCCTGTCGTCCGTCTATCGATCAATTTGTACTTTACCGGCGATTTTCCATTACACTATCCGCAACTGTCACACCATTTTCTTGTAATCAATTGAATGGAGTTTCGATGGATTTTTAACGCGTTGGCTGTTAGAGATGATTGACGTTATGATCTTGTTGACATTGACTTCAATTAGGCGGAAAAATCGACCTGAATCAACACGCTGTTTCAAATTTTTTGACATTTCTATCACGAAGTCATATGAACTTTCAATTTTGCAAGTTTCAATTTACTTTTAATTAAAAACTACTTGTTAACGATAAAAAAAAACTGAATTTCGCATTTATCTTGAAAAATCGAAAAAGTTGGGTTTTTTATATTAAATTATTATTGATTTTTCAATGAGAATTTTAAATTGTTGCTTAAATTTTCAACATTTTTAGTTTCTAAGTGCAATATTCACCTGAAAATGGAAAATTCTCAGAATATTCAAGACATTGAATGATTCATCAATGGAGAATTATCAAAAATTTCCAACAGTAAAATTATTATTTGGTTATCATGTATTTTTAGTGAAAAGGATTTTTCATTGGGAACGCCATCACAGTTGCCACATCATGGATTTTGTTGGAAACATCTTTTTGACTTTATTTAATCACGATAAACCAATTGAAGTCGATAACGCGAATGATTGACGCTTTTCAATCGACGTTGTTGATATTTCATTGGGATTTTGCTGTAATGCATCCTATTCGTGAAAAATCAAAGAGAATTTTTGAAAAAAAAAACAATAAAAAAATCAATCAATCAATGGATATCAATCAATCGTCACTGAGAAAAACAATATCTTTTCTGAAGTATACTTACTAATCACAGGAAATATATTTGGCAAAAGACATTTTTTTTCTCAGTGTAGATGAATAAATAACAAATTTTCTATCAATAATAGATTTACTAAGAATTAAAATAGAAAATCAGAAATATGTACATGTAAAATTTCTATTAACATTTCAGCGTGCAGTAATCAGGAAATTACACACAGGGACCGATGCGGGAAACTTCCCATATGTAATCGGTTAGTTACTGCCCGCTGAAATGCAAATTTTGGTTTTCACACGTTTGATAACAAACCTGGCACGTGTGAAAAACAAAAGTAACCCCCTTGAAGCGTAATATAAGATACTGAAGGAGCTGTCAATTGATGGATTGTTATTACTCTAGCTAATCTACATCGTTCAATTAAGTTTGACTTAAGTTCAATAAATCCAAAAATATAAACACAAATACATTAGAAAAACAGTATTAATTATCGATGCCCTTTTTCAATCAGATCGCAAAAGCTGGGAAATGCTAACTGTCGAACAATTCCAAACAATGGTATAAAGCGTTTGAAATGAAACTTGCGTAACAGCAATTTCAATACTCCGAGAGCTTGTTACTTGAGTTGCGTTTGTCATCGTTACATGATGGTGTTTCTTTGAAATGTAGACCGTCCCTGGGACAGAAATATGTAATCATCGGATATTCAAGGTTAAATGATGCAATGATGATTGTTGCTTTTCAGTCCACTCACATCGGGATCCTCCACGATGGTGGAGTCCTGGGGATCAGCGAGAATAGGTACACCACCACCACCAGGAATGCCCTCAGGAGGACCTCTTCCCCTGAGCACTAGTACCTGTGGAGTTTCGGGAGGTCTTGTATCGATGCCACCTATACGACCTAGTCCAACGTGCGTACCAACTGCTGCTCCTATCGCAAGTCCTGAAGGCGTAAGCGACGTTAGTACTCTAATTGATGTTTACGATCGGTTCAGCTGTTGGAATTCCCTTTTTCTGAAATTTTTGGCATCATTTGTTCACTGCGCCTGCGCAGGATGCACAATTACCTGCGCAGTTGCACCAGAAGTGAATTGAGTTGTAACACAATATTTCGGAAAAGGGAGTTCAAGTCTGAATGCTTGCCTGTGGTTTTAAATTCATTTTTGCAGCAAGACTATTTCCTCATCGTTTATTATTCATGACATAATTTGCCGGACAATAAGCCATGACTTGTAATGAGAGATGTCGAGCCGATCACATGTTCAATTAATGATCATAAAATATACATCTTCTTTTGGTTATTATTATTCATTAGTCTTCTGATTGATCACTTGATATCCGATTTATCAAATGGTCATAACTATTCATGAATTGCGAAAGCTTAAATAATTCATCAGTTACTAATCCATGCCTGTTGTGAAAACAGATGGTAGTCCGATTGCATATTCGTTTAATAATATAAAAACCTGCATATTTTTTTCTCATTACTCCAACATTCTTCAGATTAATCATTTAGCATAAACTGCGCAGTGACGTGCGCAGTAATACCCAAGTAAATCGAGTCGTAAAATGGCATGTAAAATGGCATGCGATTTTTCACTCCATAATTTACGTCGGCTTTGAAAAATAATATCAATTCAATCACAGATTCGCTGAATAATTTGCCTTACTCTAACCACATAATGGCCGATTGACAAAATGGTCGAAGCCGGTCAAGCACTGCGCAAGCGCAATCTGCGCAAGACTATGCGCAGAAGCGTTGAGAGTGAATCGAGTTGTAAGCAGGTATTTCAGGAAATGAAGGTTAAGTCTGAATACTAGCACACATCTCCGCATTGATTCCCCCTCAACTTAATGACTGATAATTCCTTTTAAGTGATTTATCAAGCCTATTTATCCACGCCTATTGCGAGAACAGGAGTGAATTCAATTACATGCTGCGGGAATAATGAAAAAAAAACATTTCTATTTTCTTATCGTTCGTTTTCTGATCAATCAATTAATATCCGATTTAACACGATGAACATGATACTGTAATGGTCGTCCCACTGAATTCAGTAGGTCATCTTCGAGTGTATACAAGCCACCCTTGTAATGGAATTAAACGATGCGCCTGGGATGTGATAATCCTCCAGTCGATTTCATCTTCACCAACATATATCTTAATGTGTCTCTACAGACTCCTGCTCCAATTCTTCCTCATTCATCACCCAACCATTTCTCTTTCGATTTTTTTCCTCAATTCTCCGGACATTTTTTTTTCTCATCTTTTGCAACTTTTAATTATTTTCAATTCCCCCAGTTTTTGTCCTCCCCGAAGATAAAACCGCTGAACTTTCAATTTCCGGTGGTTCTTCCGTTATATTTTCCCCGGGTTTTCTCCGCTGGAGAATAGCGAAAAGGTTTTTGTTGATGTTTACATTGAAACATTATTAAAAGTTCTCATTCTTTAATTTCTGTCTTGCAATTCAGTGGATTTATCTGCACTATTCAATATTGATTGGGCACATTGGAAAATGTCATTTCAGGTATCTCCGAAATCAGGCATTTGGGAGGGACAACATACATCTCCGGGGAATGGCAATGAGGAGCCGTCGAGGAGTGTTTCGCACGCTGCAAGTTTGGATGCAATATCGAAGAGAATGGTGAAATCCGACATGGCGAAAATACCGTGTAGAAGTCTGACCTGCAGTGTCTGTAAGTTAGAAATTGCCCAATCGTATCGAACACTTTTAACGTGAATTTAATGTCTTAGTTACCGATTTGTACCCCTGACATGTCTGAAAATGCTGGGTTTGTGATCGTTCAGTGATGTTTCCTGGTCGTCACACCCCCAATCCCCCTTATATATCCCCCATTTATATTTATATAAATTATTTTTCTTTGTGTTTTTAGGTGTCGTATTCGATGTCACCTCTTGTTTGATCCTTGAGTATCTATTCATGATTGTTATTGATGTTTTATGTGGAAGTTTATTGTTCCCTTATTTCGTTCACAAGATGATATTTTGACTGGCCATTACGATTTCAATTCCTTTTCCTTGCATTCGTAGTTTACGGTTTATCTGCGTTATTAAGGAGATTCATGGATTTATCTTGGGGTAAGAAAAAAATTTGTCAAATTGTGTGACAGCAAATTTCCGGATTTAGAAATGGACGACATTTTTTACACTTTCATGGCGAACCGAGTTCCGGTGAATTATTGATCGCCAATATATTATGGAGTAATGCATTCAATAATTAAGATGTGTTTATTAAAAAAATGGAGAAGAATACAAGATCAAAGAATTACGAGTTACAAAAAGACGGTCGCTTTAAAATTTGTTAAAGCGGGAACAGGGAAGCACAAATACATCACACTATTAATACAATTATAAACAAAAACTTCTGGAGCGCAACATAAGTTTTTTCCTTAATTATTCTATAAATTGTCTTTCCAGAGCAAATTTTCCTTTTTAAGAGAATGGGAAATCAAATCTTGAGATCTTTAAAAGTTTAAATGGCGATATAATTTTGAAATCTGTAGAAATTTGGAGTTGAATTGGGGATTACTGAGAGCTAAGAGGTAAAAAAAAAATTGTCAAAGTACTTGAATATCCTTGGAGGCTCTAAAATGCATAAAATATGGAAATTAGTTCCGCACTTTTGACGATAACCCTAGGATCTCCTTAATAACTACAATGTATCTTTATATTCATACTTCGTGAGATGGAAAGCTTCGGAGAAATACTTTAAAGTTGCAAATTATATCCGTGAAAGTCAAGAGAGGAAAAACGAGGAAAAATAAATTCAGAACAACTAGAAACTCCGGCAGCTCAATAACGAGCGTTAAAAGCTCCGGAACCCCTAGGTGACTTCGAATCGATTATCGATTTTACCACAAAGATTTAACTCAAATATTCTGATAAATTTTTTGATGAATTTGTTATACTGAAAGATACTGAAAAAGCTGAGATATAAAATATTCTAGTAGCGGGTCGAGGGAGTGAATATGTGAGCGGCCTTGAGCGATGGCCAGCGACGGTCGATAATATCATGGAAGGTAAAAATTAAAAAAAACGAAAAAAAAAAGATTAGAACAGAAAAATAAAGACAAACAGAATTGATTTAAATACCATGCAGAAACTGCGACAGAAAATTCACAGCGATAATCAACTCTCGGCGAGTTTTTTTTTACAATCCACTTTTGTTTTTTTTTTATTAACAATCGTTGATAAGTGAGCGATCGGCATTGCCGACGACCACTTGCACAATTTCTATTTTATTCAGAGCAGAGAATTCACTTGTTACGGCTTATTTACACCAGGGAGAGTTACTCTCTCCGAATTCTCAAATTTATCCTTTTTTCATTATTTTTTAAACTCACTGAATAAAATTTCGCGTTTTCCATTTTATTCTGAATGCGCTTTTTTAGGCCTTTACTTTCTTGATTTCTCTCGAACCTGAGAATTTCCTGTATGACACCTACAGATTTTTAAATAATAATAATAATAAATTAATTTAATAGTAATAAATTAATTTAATATTATTAATTAATTGAATAATTCTTCTGTAAATTCAATTCTTTCATTATTGAGTTTAGAAAGTGAATTTTTAAAATGTTTTTGCATGAATTTGTTGTAACAGTTTATTTTGACGAAATATCAGTTATTTATCGCACCGATTTGATATTCGATTTGAGTTGAAGATTTCATTGATATTTTTTATTTAAAAAATCCTCACCGATGGGAATCTAAAACGCATTCGTCATCATCATCGAAAACCGTCACTTAGAAAATCCTCATATTGTAAATACCCGTCAGCTAATTCCTCATTACCGAATAACCATTTATAAATACCGCATCAATCATTGAACGAACATATTCCTCCTCAGACACACGTAATAAACTACCAAAAACTAACTTGTCTTCTATTCACATGAATGCAGCTTTCTAGATGGCGATATAAAATAAAAAATTAACAATTGTTTACTCACAGTCAAATTGACCACTGATTTTTCCAAAATAAATCTATGCATTGATGTATTTTCCTGTCTGTGATGTTGCATTGAACTTCTAATCCTAACAATTAGAAAATAGTGTAGAAACATAGAAAAGAGTCTCAATCATTGGCAATTCAATCATTGTACTTTCATTGGCATTTCGAGAGTTTAATGATTTTCTATTTTCATTTTAAGCTACTAAACACTCAAAAATATTTCCGGGTGTTGCGTCGGAGAGCGATTTACAGAGATGGCGAACATCGAGGGAGAGAAAATCACCGTCACTCAGTCAAATGGGATCGGATTCTGTCAAACACAAAGTAAGTCCATAGTATCAATCGTTTTCTGTCGAGTTTATTGCTCCAGTGGTTACTGAGCTTTTTATAAATCTGCTACAATGGCTGCCCTAAGGGCTTTCTGCATCACTCGAGCGTGAAAGACTATTAGTGAAAGCACTTCACAAATGCGCGTTGACCATAAGTCGTTGATAAAATAAAAAAAAATCAGCGATTCGGTGGAGGAAAAAATTCATATGCCACTAGGAAAACTCTGAAAAATCAAACACAGACTAACGATTGTTTATGGCAACATTTTTCACTTGTTACTCCACCGGAAAAAAGGAAACATTTATGTGAATCAAATGAATAAATTTATTTAAATACATAAGTAGAAGTTCGACTTATATTGAATAGGATTTCTATTATTATTAATAATTATTGAGCTGATACAAATGAACAATTTATTTAGAGCGACTAATTTATTATCTGAATTAAGTAGAAGTTGAAATTGAAATAAATAATGTCTTTTTTACATAATTAATTTATTAATTTCTAATAACTTTCGATAAATAACCAGTCATTAATATATTACGTAAAAATATTATTAAAATTTATGCAAGTAAAAGGAAACATTTGTTTTTACGTAAAATTATTCTCGAATTTTGGTGGAAAAAATCCGAATAAAAATTTCACGTTCACGTTTAAAATTGTCATATATTTTTTTCCTAAACTTCTGCGTGGACTGGTAAATGATTTCAATTTGAAATCTGGGATACATGAGTTGAAATAATTTTTCGGAGTTACCCAAGTGCTTGTGGGACCTGTCAAGAGAGAGACATACGTGCGCGAAGTACTTTTTTCGTCTCAATGCCTCACTGATTGCATGCCAGCATTATTCGCTCGGAAAGTTTCAACCGCATTTGTGGAAGAAGGCATTTTTTTCTAGAATTGGCAAAAGGCTTTTCTTCACTCTTTTACTTGTCAAAATGAACGGCCTTCCTGACATTTTTTCGTGACACAGTTTTCTCTGCAGGACAACGGCTCAGCCAAGTACTTCCAGGGAGTGATGCATACACCGAACATGGGAGAAAAAGTCGCTCAGGTGAGTCATTATTCCCTATATATATCGAATAATCTCATTTAATTTTTCATATTGCTCATTCCACAATTCAATCCACAACCCCGGAGATTGAACTTTCGTTTTTCAGGAAGGAATATAATCTAATTACTCATTCCACAGTCATTTCTTGCGGTGCGAGAGGAACAATTTGAAAGAAAATGAGATTTCGTATTTTTTCCACGAGTTTCCCAGTTCAATCCACAATATCGTATCAAAAAAACCATAAATTTAGATTAGATTAGATTTGGGTACACGGATGGTCAGACTAGCCTCCCCAATGCCACCATACTCAGATTAGAGTTATTGTAGCTCCGCTTGTTTTATGCGGAGATCATATGTCCAGCCCGCCCTTTGTTGCCAGTCTTAACAGATCCGTTGCATCCTTGTTCGCGACTTGATTTGCGGTGGGGAAGGCAGTTCCCCACCACCGCAATCTCGTCGCTGCTAGAGCCGAACAGTCACATAGGATGTGTAGACTATCCTCTTTTGCTTCATTACAGAATCTGCACCACCCATCCGAGTCCATGCCGATGACTCTGCAATGTTCTTTAAATCTGCCATGTCCTGTGAGCAGCCTGATCGTAGTGGCCAGACTCTTCCTGTCCATGGTCAAACAAAAACCATAGATTCACATTCTTTTCTATCAATTTGCACCTATTAGCGGAAATGTTATCCCCAAATTTTGTTCATGAATAATTATAAAATTGAACTGATAAGACATCCTGTTTTGAAACTGACATTCACTCGTTCTGAGTTTCCGTTTCTTTATTTTTCCGATTGAATGAATGCCAAACGTCTTGTTTTTATGAATTGCAATACGGCAACAGACATTCACGAAAAATAAAGTAAATAAATAAAATGACACGGATGAGCTGGCGTGTACCTATTTTTTGCAGACTCTTTTTTTTCCTTTGTCGCTTGGAATTCTACTCCTTTGGTGCACCTCACGATGTGCTGGCGCGTGGGGTTGGCAGAGGGTGAAAAAGGGGTTGAAAAAGGGGTGAAGAGGGGGGTATTTCATGGAAACTCCACCAGACAGCGTCTCAGTCAGTGTCGCATAGTCGTATCGCTCGGTAGTTCACGTTATCACGTTTACAACAATTTCAATTTTAGCGCTGCATTTTTTTAAAAATCATTAACAATTTTTTCGATCCCCGGAGAATCTCCTCCGCCCGACGCATAATTTTTTCTAATTTTCCACCATTTTTTATCCAAAAAAAAAGCCATAAAAGACTCAATTGTGAAATTTCTGGAATTCCAGAAATCAGTGACAATAAATAAAACATAAAAATCGGTTAAATAAACATTTCTTTGATCGGCCGTTTTCAGTCGATTGATTGTTGATGGATTTTTTAAAAATATATAATTTATAGAATTTTTGTTGTTCATGGGAAAATTATCGAATTGTTCGTGCGGTTGTACTAGCATCCGTTGAAAAAGTATGTGCTTACAGAGTAATTACGTTACATGTTCTGTGGTTCTTTCATTTTCGAATAGACACAATAGAGGTTCCGTCTTTTTCTGGTGTGAAAAGACTTTTATAAACACCATTTTCAAAGCTCCTCTTATCCTCTAGCTTATGTCAGATTTTCCTCATTCTCATCTTTTTCTCAATTTTTCGGTTCTCTCGAGTGTAATCCTCATTGTTTGGTTTCTTGAACTCTCAAGCATCTGATGACTCACTCCGATATGAAATACGAATAAAAAAAATATCCATAAAAATATTATCAATTCGCAAAAAATCTGCATTACAGAAAATATTCCACTTAAACTTTTCCTAATTACAAAAGTTCAACAAATTCTTCAATAATTTATTAGGTATTCCAACTATAATATGTAATAATACAATTTTCAATTCTTTTTATTGTCCAGGGCGCAATTTTAACAATAAGAGGACAGGTACAACGCGTTCGACAATTGATAATTATAATTATTCCGCGTTCATATTTCTAAATTTCCCAATTAATAAATTGACTTCTTAAAAATAATGATTTCCAATTTTATCTGTGAGCTTTGTCAAAGTGACCAATCGAGTTAATTATTGAAGTTATCGCGTCCGTTCGAACGAAATAATTAACAAACATGCGTTTTGTTTATCGATTTTAGAAATTGATAATTCTTTTAGACCTTGGGATTGCACTGACAAAAATTTGGTAGAACCAGCGGCTACTGGATGATCAGATATTATCAGATTACAATCCGAAAGCATTTGAAATAATTCATTATCCACGGGAATTAACGCTGAGGTAAAAACTTGAGGAAGAACCTTAGATACTTTGACCGTGACCCGATAAACTCTACGAATCGACCGATTCTCTTACTACGTTCGTTAATTATTCTTCAAATATATGGTGCCGTGTTTCGCCTGATAAATTCACTCGCCCTCATACACATTTATGATCATTACGAGAAGGCACAATGACACTTAGTCTCGAATTATCCGCCTTTCCCAAACTGCTAATTGCCCGTGCAATCGATTCCACTATCATTCAATATTTCACGCGACTAGGAAATGGTTTTGTAAAAAACACCCCGTGATTTTATATTTTTATTTCTAGAATAACAGAAAACAGGCGCAAATGGCTGAGCATTCTTCTTGGAGGAGAGAATATTCTCTGACGAATAAAAAATTATTGTAACATTGTGTTTGTTTATAATACTCTTCAGTGGGTCATATTTATGAATACAAAGTACATGGGTGAAGGTATTAGTAGGCATGTATGGGGTTGATCAATGGCTGGTGGCCTTGTCTCGACAAACCCACAATCTATAAACCGCAAACATTTGTTTAAGGTCTCGACAGGGCACGTACATCATCACTCCCTAGTTGAAGTAGAAAACGAGAGGGTGAAATGAGCATTTTTCATTTCTTCGGGATTGTTGGAAGCACCTCCTATTATTCGTGCAACAAGAATTCTCCAAAAACAGTTTTGCCATATTTCTTTTTTATTATTCAATTATTTCCACCGTTACTTCTGGAAAAACTCAACTTTCATGCACAACTCATACGGATTTATTAATTTTCGATAACGGAAAAATTATGTAATCAATAAGTTCACGGAATAACTGATTAAAAATTTACAGTTTTTATTGATTTTTGGGTTTTAGGGCGATTTTAGATTATATTCCGAGATTCGTTTAATTCCCAATCAATTTCTAAATCGATTTAAGCAGCAATTAGCGCATATCCAGGTATCGATTAATTCCATAATTTGAGTTGAGGCAAAGTCTGTAGAGTTTATTGATTATAAAGTTATCGAAGCGTTGAATTGTCACGTGTACCTTGAAGCAAAATAGATTTCCCCTCTGAGGATGTTCTACACGCTTTCAGCCAAAATTTACATATTTAATATTTTTTGGTAAATTATCGATAGGATTGACGTGCGAAAATATAATGTTTTTGCTTTTTGTCATTCTTTAATGATTCACGAAGTTTTCCGCTGGTGCGAATATTTTCCTGTAGACAAGAAAATCCTTTAATAAGATTTACAAAACTAGAAAAAACGCACGGACATGATCGCATAACCACGAAACTTTGTGAGCCATTGTTAAATAATGACAAAACGTAAAAATGTTACATTTATGTAGGTGGGACCGCCTTTGCCTCATACTTTTATTGCCCTAGGGAGGTAAGTGGCTTCTTTTTACTTACCTTTCTGGGCCAACAAAAATATTCGGTTAGTTGAGCCTCGTAATGTAGTATTTTTCACGCCTAGGACAGAAAAAGTGATTTTGACTCATGCGCTTTATGATCCTCCCCTTCGGCTCAGGCTATAAATCCACATGCCGAAAACAATTTTCTGCACGAGTTGCGAACAATATTTTTCCTCGGAATGTGCGGGAAAATAACTTTTTTGGCACGCGATGCGAAGCGGAGCGTTTCTGAAAAGTTACTTTTCGACACATTGTGATGAAATGTAACATATGACGCGTAGTCTAATATAATACGTTCCCGAAATACTTTTAGCCCTTGTAACATATATTACTTTTTTAATAAATTACTAATTTTTCCTAAACGGGTGTCGAACATCCTTAAAATAGCTCTACCATCAGGTCGGTACCTTACCGACCGGATACGCTGCCATCGATTATTTCCAGAATTCTGCAACTAATTGCATGAGTAAAAGTCCATTAAAATTATAATTCATACAATCGGTGTCATCTAAACTAAATTTAAGAAAATATTGATATTTTTTAAAAGATTTTTTTCTTATAAACATATAATAGAACTTGTTTCCTAAAACGGTAGATTATCTTTTACGAAGTGTCAAGAAATTTTTAAAACCATAAGGACCATTATCGTGAGGAAAAAATTGTGATTTCAATTTTTCCAAAACTTTGTGTAGTTTTCAATAATCTACGGACTTACCAAAAGGGTAGAGCTATAGAGGTGACCCAGAGAAAATGCCACATTCAGGAAAATGGGATACGGGGGCAAAATGGGACCCAGTATAAAATGGGATGAATCAAGAGATTCAATGAGAGACGAAGAAAAAAGTCGATCGTAAGAATCCATTATTCAACATTTTAGTTTTTCCAGAATTTTATTACAATTAACTGATATAAAAAATTTTAAATTCCCATAAGGAATTTCACGATCAGAAACGATTGAATGAACAATTGCCGTTACATGACGTATTTCTTTAAAAATGTTGAAAAAAGAAAAAAGTAAGAAAACGAGAATAGAGGAGACAGGGACAAAACGGACACTTTAAGAAGAAAAACAATTTTTTCTCGGGAAAATATGTTGCATTTTCTAATGGCTCGGAATATAACCACAAGAAAAAAAATCTGTCGATGAAAGTATTTTGTAGGACGGGTGAGGGCAAAACCCACGCCCTCCGAATTTGAATATTCATTAGATTTCATAATTCTGCATATATTTCCTAATTGAAAAATCGAAACTGTGATGGCGGCTCAATTTTCATTTATCCAAGTGCGATCTATATAACCACGTCTATGTCCTATAGTACTGCATTATTCATATAAGAATTCAATTCTGTGTTTTTTTCGTGAATCAAAGAAAAAAAAAAGATGGAAATGAAAAAATTAAAAAATCGGGAGAATCAAAAAAAATGTTTAATTAAAAGAAAAAAAAATCACTCTAATTAGTCTAACATTTTTTAAAGAAAAGAAAAAAAAACTGGGCATATGTCCCATTTTGCCCGGTTCCCCCAACTTTAATCCCAGGGTGAAAATTCATTGCTGATGTACGGGGATTCCCGGAATTCGAATAATAATTTTCACGAGATTGCGGTCATGAAAGGAATGGGCGTTTTCAGATTCACACGTGAATCGTGTCCCATTAGTGTCACGGAGGTCCTCGACATGCAGCCCTTAGTGGTTCAACAGTATGTCCAGTTATTCCATTAAAGCACCCCTTTCCGAGTCACTTCTTCCCCCAGTACTGCAGCTCTTACCCTCATATATACACCTGTCCCACGAGAACCACCTGCTAACCCCCTCCCACCCTCTTCCGGACTCTAGTCCAATAATTCAGGGATTATTTACAACACTTTAAGCACTACGATAAGTGCAATTTTCTCTAAGTCCAGTTTTACTCAGTGTTTCCTTTTTCTCCCTCAACTAGAATATTTCAGTAATGAAAGTATAACAGTTTAAAATGATTATGAATCATTTCTTACTTTAATTATTTCTAATAATAATAATAATATTTTATTTTCTTTGGTTTTACAAGATATGTGTTTTACACCTTCTCCGCTTGTTCCATTCTTGATTTATATATTCAAGCCATTTTAAAGTTCTCTTTGATTATTTCTATTACATCGAAATATTAAGTCACAATCTTTCTTTATCATTTCAAACGAAAAGTAAAGAAATATTATATAAAGATATTTAATATCCCCTAATTCAATCAATTCTTCATTCTTAATGTTTTATTTTATATAATATATTTGTTTAAAGCTAAAAAAAAGTTGCACTGAATTTTTTAAAAGGGAAAATTTCTCCGTTCATTATTTTAATCATGAAGCGCAAATCGAGCGTTAACGTAATTATTGAATATTTTGGAGCAATCAATGAAAAATGAAATATAAGATGAAAAAGGTCGGCTGTACGGGTTGAGTTGTTTCGAAAATGATTGAATCCACTTCGAATTTCTGCCAAGCCCTCTGAACAATCCTCTTAAAATTCTCATTAAAGCTTCAGAGTACCAAGAGTCCACATGAAGATCCAAAAAAAAGGAATTAGGGTAAGAGGTTAAGCCTCAGTGCACCTCCTAAATGAGCAATTAAATGAGCGATGCCGAGGACGAAAATAGACGTTTGACGGGTGGTGAAGTACTGGGTCACAGTTGGTCCGACTGGTCATTGATTTGGAAAAAGAGGGATGAAGATACCAGTGATATTGATCTAGACGACGAGGATGATGTTGAATTGATCGTGAGTGGTGAAGTTATCGAGGATCTTGTTGTGATTGTTGGTGAGGGAAATCGTGGGGGTAATTGTGAAGTGGCGCCACACAGTGCGATGAATGGGGGGGCTGGCAGGGCTAATGGCACCCCCAGCCCCCAGGACATTCGGCTTCTGCATGAGCTGGTAGAGGATATCGAAAAAGAGCAGGACGATAAGAATCGGCCCAAAGAGGAACAGGTAATAACAGATTATCTCAATTTTATTGACTACATTCACTAAAATCTCATCACCTGGTCAGTTTGCATCATCGATTTCCAAGGATATGATGACAATTGATCAGGATTGATCAATATTTACCAGAACTTGGATGGCTTTCTATTTCTTCGTGTTCACAACTTCAAATATCAATTCCACAATTGCATTCAGAATATATTTTATATTCACATAAATTTCATGTTCCGATGTATAAGATGATGGTCTCACATGTGGTCCCACCCACTGGAATGATCCCTCACTTCCATTTTTGATAAAGGTTTCCTGTCCGAATTCGTTCAAATACTTGACGTCCAATTTTCCTCCGAATATTTGCAATTCGGACAGCAAAGACTGCAGTCGTTTGTCCATGACGTTCGGCATATATTCTTCTACGAAGAATACGCTAGGTGTAGGATTTCCCTTCACCAGTGGCATGACGGCCCACGAATATTCATACAAATATTTGATCAAGTTCAATCCCTTCTCTTTCTGAGCCTTCGATGCATCCTTTAAGAAGTCATTCAGCTTGAGAACTAGAGGCAAAGGCAGATCTTTTGGGATAGAGTGATTCCCTCTTTCACGTATGTCCCCAATGGCTTCATCAATAATAGAGTCGACAAGCAGACAATGAGTACATTTTTCAAGTCTCTTCCTTATTATATGAGTATGCGGTCCTCCATTACTGTTTAAATCGAAATTCGGTGGAGTGCGTATTCTGTCGTACTTGGTCAATTCATCCATAGACTGGAACTCACAAACAACAGCTTGATCCTGTTCCTCCATCTTCTTAGGAACAATCCCTCGAGTTTTCATGACTTTCCAGTAGAGTTTTATGAAGTTGTTGATAGTCCATCTGATCCTCAGAATCCTCTGGTCTTCCGAAAGCTGAGGATTCGCCGAGAAGTATCCAAGCACTCCATTATTATCTAACTTCAGTGGAGTCTGATAATAATTTGCATCAGTTACATATCGAAAGTCCCAGAGCATTCCTCCGATCTTCGCTATATCCAGCAATGTAACTTCAGACATATTGAATTCATAACGAACTGGTATGTACCGTGATTTCTCCTCGGGTTTGGCTCTGTCAATGATGATCAAATCTATCAATGCGTCTTGAAGCAATTCAAGTCCTTCTTGAAGCAGACTCGCGGATTCATTTGCAAGTAACAAGATTGTAGCTCTGTAGATAGCTGTATTGTTAAACTCATTGGTGCTGGTGTTAGTCGGGAAGAACGGAAGATCCTGAAGGATTTCCGATGGCTGGGGCATTTCGTCCAACGTCTTCCGGAACTCTTCATGGTGGACTACGCTAAATCTCAGTATTTGTAATCTGAAATATTCGCCTATGGATAGATTAGCAGTCGCTATTAGATCTAACCATTGATTTATTTGGTGTTCAAAGGGCAACAGCTCCTGCTGATATGCAAAACGATCGACACTGACTTTTTCCGCTGGGACGCAGTTAAAAAAGTAATGGGTTATGTTACGCCACAGCCTGTCGTTGCTACTGCTGAAGTTTCTATTGGATTTTAACGGATTAAGCTCGTCAGGGTCACCTAGGAGAGCTTTTATTTCAGAATGGGGGAGAAGTTGTTCCTTTGACTTGCCGATACATTTCTTTAACTGGGCCTGTCCTTCCTCACCGGGTTCTGGTATCACTGGGTGGAATCCTGGTGAGGAGGACCTGTAGTAGATCCTAGCTGAGGTATTCCAGCAGTTTATGTAGTTATCTCGCAGCACCTGGAAATCTTCCTGTATCATCGCCGTTGGTTGAAAGTAAGTCACCTCAGATAGTGATTCAAAATGCGGATAAGACGAGATGATCAGGTCTTGAATCAGTAGGTTTACTCTCGGGGATTTCACTGCATTATTCAGGACCTGGAAAAAATTGAAGCTACTCGTGTCTGTGAATGTCGGGTTGAATCTTTCGAGTCTAGCTCTTCGTTGCTCCAAATGGTATTGTATAGTTTCATTCGACGTCTCGTTCGCAGGTGAACCACTGAAGCTGTAGCTGATTGACGATAGGATTAGCAGAAGGCGCATTAGACTTGATGGTGACATGTCTCTGCAATCATTAGAAACTGTTAGCACAGAATATGTTCCAATCTTCATCAAGTAATTAATGTTCGATTTACCTAATGAGGGATCTGCACTCCGCAATAGCACAATTATGACTGGAATGGCAGTTCTGCGGTTAAATATGATGTTGCAGTAGATAATTTTTCTAGTCGCTGTTGATAACTCTCATGTCATATTTATTTGACCTGTCGTATCGGTGATAGATACTGAAGACCTTGAATCCATTGCCAACGGACGAGTCAGAATCAGAGATCTTTATGTTGAAGACAATTGTTATTACGCCATACACTCAGGAAAAAATATATATACTTATAGTTATATATTATATTATATGTGTATTGAATGGTTTGCCGATTATATGACCGTATAATTAATATATTTTTCCCATACATACCAGCTTCCGTCCGCGTAACGAACATTTTCTATGGAATTTTTCTATTTAATATAACATTAATATTTAATACATATAACTTTATGAAAGTATATGATTTTATTATATATATTTTCATTTCAAATAACTAATTTCTTTATGAAGTTATTTTGATTAGAACTTTAATTGTTCGAAGTTTTTAAAGACAGTATTTGCCGTTTTCAGTTTTTCATAGTTTCCACATCATTTATAAAAAATATATTCGATCTAAAAATATTTTTTAAACAAAATCAATAGTTCCAGCAGAAATTTTATATAGAATCGTGCCGTATATACACAGAATTGATTAATTCATTCATTAATGGAAGAATCAATAACAAAATTATATGAAATATTTATTTCATACATTGGAAAAATATACTTGCATTATACATAATTTAAATAAATTTTTCCATGGGGCGGCAGCCAAAATCGAGTAATTATAATAGCATTTCCGTTATAATCTAAGAATTGATAATGGCGATGAGAAATTAATGATTGAATTGGCGTTACGATTGCTTCAGCGGTAAATCCGTAAATGGAAAGTGCAAGATATAGTACGAATAGATCCAAATGGGCTGCGCTTGCGCAGTTTTTCCTGTGACTAGGAGAATCCTCTTTCTCTCTCAATCCTCAGCGCCTGTCTCAGTCCTCTCAGCCTACTCTTGCTGTGGAAGAATCAATAGGCAACCCCTCGTGTACAGGTGGCGGTGGTACAGGGCGCACACCAAAACCATCACGGCGCAGTACAATCATCGTGCGAGTGTAGAACGTGATGTGTTCAACGTACAATTGTTTTGATTGGCATTAAATTAGACAAAGTGAACTGTCAATCGCCTCATTATATCGAAATTAACCCGTTAATTTATACGCGGATCTTCTCCGATTTTTTATTAAAAAAAAAAACAAATTATTGCAAATTAGTGACATCCGGGCGGGGCGTGCGCGTCTTGTTTTGAATTAATAACTCAATTTCCGAAGAATCACTCTTGGAATTTCTCCACATATTTTATTTGATCTCCACCCGGACAATTTCGCCCCGGAAAAATCTATTTCCAGCGGATTGAGAGATTTTTTTTTTCATGGAGATTGTGTTTCTGGGTCAAATGTCAATATTCTTTTTCGCGGAATTGGTGACATTTGAGCGAGAGATAATGGTGGATTTTATGTGGAAATTCACCTCGGGGCAGTAAGTGAACGATGAAAACGTGGAAAACGTTGATGTGATAATTTTTTTATGAACTGACTGAGTGATGGAGTGAGATTGTTGATTTGTGCCAAAGATTGTTTGATTTTCGAGGAGAATCGCGGGGAAAACAAAGAAGCATATCTGGACATAAATCAACAAATTAATTATCAAATAACAATAGAATAAATCGATGGTCTTTCATTAAAGAGACTGACATCATTGGTTGATTAACACCAATTTTTGTTGATCAAGTATGAAGTTAATTGTCTTATCGGGTGAAAAAGAGCAGCCCTAAACCCACGAGACTGTTGTTTACTAGTTCCATCCATTAATTGATTAAAATCCTACTGAATTATTGAAAACAGCAATTACTGCTATTGTGATGTTATTTGTAACTCCAAATTTACACCGATTTTTACGATTATTTCTAAACAAATGATAACTCATCGAAACAAATATATTTGACTCATCTATTGGATCGGAGCAATTTCTTGTTTACAACAACTGCAATGAAAAAAGGTATTCGATATTTGTGCATCGCTCCATTGAACCCGCGGAGAAATATCGCAGCAACAATCAACTTATTGGATATCGAATAAAAAACAGTATATTGAATGGTTTTGAGAGCAAATGCATAAACCCGATGGTATTGTATATTCTTGATATACTATTTCAACAACAGATAAAAAATTGTTGTTTTCCGATAGCGGAGTCAATAAAACGAGTTGATTTTAGCATTGAAAGACAACAATACCTCAAAACAACAGCTCCAAGAAGCCTAAAATGAGATTCAATTGATCGCTGATGTCTTGAAAGTAAACGCACAAAATGTAGAAGTAAGTGAAATAATATTGGAAAAATTGTAAACCCTGAATGGAGAGGAAAGCTATTCAAAATTGAGCGACACGAGAAAAACCAAACGGACGAAGGGAAGCGGAGAACTTTAGCTGGTGGAGCATGGAAGCGGAGCAGTTGGACGAAGAGAAAAGATGATGAGATTGAATTGAAAGCGAAGAGTCACGAAGTTGACTCATCAGCCTATCTAATCGACAAAATTGATCGTGTCCCACCACCGGTGATAATACGCCGTAAACGTATTGCATCGAAATCGTCGTACAATCGTCGTCGGCCAACATCAGACACAACGAGTGATTCAGCAAGCTCTGACCTAGCGAAGATAACCGAAAAGGATGATTGTCAGCATCTCTGTCCGACTCTGCGCTGTACATCATCGTACAATCATGAAGATCACCTAGATCAGGCCATAAGTTCATCAACATTCTCGAGTCATTCATCCAGCATAAGACGATCATGGAGGAAGAATCGGTTATTTGGCAACGATAATCACTTCATCAGGTCAAATAATAGGCCCTTCAAGAAGAGCTTCTCTCGATCTGCATCGACATCATCATCTAACTCATCAGTAGCATCAGCATCATGTTCACTAGCCAGAAACTGGTGTTTGAGAAATAGCCAGCATCAGAATGAGGAGTCATCAGCACCGTTGAATGCGGATAATGTCAATGAGGAGCGAATTGACAATGATGAGGATAAATCGAAGGACACTATATTTGGCATCTGGCCAAAACGTTCATTAACACTGCCAATCGGTCGGAAACTAGCTGCTTGGGGACGAGAGGGGAAGAACTTGCTGGTCAAATCCGTATCATCCGCAAACACGTTTGTACCAACGACAATGACATGCATCAAGTCCCCGAGGGCAATGTCGGAGAACCTGCTGGGACGAACTGATGCTGATGAATCCTCTAACATGACCATGTCGGGCTCCAGATCTGTGGAGCACCATCCGAAGAAGAGCGGTTCTTTGAAGGACGGTAGATTGACAACGCCGATTGTCATCGAAGTACCACAGCAACAGGCTGGTCAATTCGTCCAACGTTGGAGCAGTGTTAGAGTCAAGGGCGGTAGCACCAAGAGCTTATTGTTGGAAAATGGAGGACCTCAGGGCCAGATCAAAGAAGCACTCAATAAGGAGGTACTGTTACTGAAATGATACTTCAGGAGTAGATGAGAAACGCGATATGTCTCGATCGATGTCGACGACAATGAAGCGTTTCGGTAGACAATTCCCGGGGAAGGAAGAGCTCTTCTGGCAAGTCATCCGGGGCTTCACACAATCGCAACCATTAGACGGTTACAAAGAAATTTTATCTCTTCGGCCTTTTGTTTTAAAAATATACGACCTTTCGAGGTCTGATGAAAATTAAGAGAAATTCTTATCGGAAATTTCAGGGTTCCAATATGAGATTCCAGCTGGGCTCTTGATTCAACTTGTCAGGGACGGGACTTAGCATTTCCCAAAGGATTCTAATCATCATGTCGCTATTATGTCACAGGATAAACCCCGAATATCACTCGTGTCATCCGATGATCGATACTGAATTCCGACATTGACGTTCCAATTATCAGAGAGCTAATCACTGAGACTATTGTCATTGACTTGAGTCTCTAATGAATTAGCAGGTCTTGTAGTTTTATTGGGTCTCTCATTTATTCATTTTTTCACGAAATACTGTGGGGATTCGAATGCTCTCATGCGGAATACACCAAGGGCGGACAAGGATTGGGATTTCGTATTCCCTGAAGCCGTTATAAATGTAGATTCATCTGAAATTGTGAACTCCTGAGTAAATGGTGGTGATAATGTATAGATAATTATCTCCTGGGAAATACGAAAGTGAATACATTCTTCTCAGCTTTTCGCGATGGAGTTTTCAGTAGATAACATCTGGACGTTATTCTCTAAATAAAAATTTCTTGATTCTTCAGTCACAACAACAAGTCAATTCATCTAGAAATGCAGAGGATTGATTTTTGAATTTTTATATCAGTTATTCCAGCCAAGAACCTGAACATTGAGAATTACCAAAATATTTAAAAAAATTGAAAAATTAAGTAGTTCGTGAATGAAGAATTATACAGAAGTTTCATGTTACTTCGTCGTTGTTAACAATTTCAAGTTTTTTAATTGAAAATATACGTGTGAAGTGATCCCGTTCTCCTTCAATTAAGTCGTCTTTTGACTTGATCACTCTTGCTGACTAGTCTCGGTACGAGCTCCCGGGATGCTCGCCCATTCACGGATATTTAGGGAAGGTTCACCCGGTTTTTTTCCAATAACCGAACGCCACTTCCTCTCAGATAAATATATATGCTTATATAAAATCAAACTAAGATTGGGTTCGTTTTCGCGGTGCTGAGATTTTTGGTGAGAAGTGGATATCCGTTCAAGTCCAGCTGCTCTCGTATACTCTAACAACCCAAGGGGCCTCAGGAACGCTTAAGACCCCGAAGTTTATAGGTAGCTATTCTCACAATTCTTTACGTCACCGTGAAACTGCTTACCTATAGCTCCATCCATCTAATAAAATCATACCTAACTTTGAGCTAATTTTTTCAACGAGCTCGATAATTTTTACTAATTTAATAATAAAATTTGGGTAATTTTAGATGAATTTTCTTAGGCAGTTGACAAATTTTACCAAGCAATACGGTAATTTTCTCTGGAAGATTAAAACCCAATACGATTACCGAATGATTAGGTAATTTTTACGGAATTATTATGACAGTGGATAATGCTGACTATTTAAAATGGAATGTCAACTGGAGATGTTGGAGTCTCAATTTGCGATGAGTGTGAAAACAAAGACTTGTTTTTCGGTTGCAATTCAGTTCTTGTGGTGTTTGTTTACTCTTGCAGATTGAATCCACCACGCGCCGAGGGTTCACCAGTAAACCCTACAATATCAACAACATTATCTCTGGTACACAGACTTACACGCGCGCTATCGGATCTACCAAACAGTTGTATATTTTCCCCTCACTCTTTCACCCGTGGCTATTTGTAGAAGTCGTGTATTTTTATTTTTATTTTTAGTCTTTGAATTATTCTTTGGATAGAATAAACCATGCGGTGATAATAATTTCTACGCGTGAATCATGGAGTAGCCATGAGGTCTCTCTATTTTCAGGCTTAAAACATCCACCTTGATATTCACCCGATGTACTTTTTTCTCTTTTCGTCTTTTTTTTTTATTCTGCTCGGGTATTATTATCAACGCAACACGATGAAGGCAGCTCTGAGGCCTGGAAACGCCACGGATTTTAGTCGAGTCGTGCGCGTCGTCTTGCGAACATTTTAATCTCGAATATTCTCCGTTGTTGAATTTGACAAATTTTTTCAGAAATTTTTTGAGGAATTTTCATTGAGCTTACAACAGGGGTCTTTCGATTTTCATGAAAATCAGGATTGCAGACATGTATCCCCGCGCTATTCCATCCCAGAGGTGACTCTGTTGAAGAATTGGTTTTTAAAGTTTGAATTAAGAATTTGAAAGGTTTTACAACTCGAAATTTATGTGGGTTTATGCCCGTTTTTTAACGAAGAATCTGGTAATTTCTTGGAATATGTAATGGAGTTTAATTCCCGGTTTAAGAATGATGAAAATTGAATAAAAATCGGGAAATTTGGGGGATTGTTTTTGAGAATTTTGAAAGTGGTGGAGATTTACTTGAATTTTAACGGATTATGTGAATTTTATTCGATTTTTTTGTGGTGAACAATCAGGTAGTTCTTGGGATATTAATAATTAATATACACCGTACTAATGTTTTTTAAAACAAATTTCTAATAATGTAAACGGATTAAATAAATCGGTTTTATATGATGAAATTTCACAGAATAATTAACAATTTCCACGATTTTCTATTGATACCTTAGGTTTTCCACTTTCCTCTGAATTTTCCTGACGTTTTAACATTTTCCTGCAATAATTGAATTAACAAGTAAAATATTTGATTTATTCGCAGATCAATTAAACAGGAAAACAATGAGCACTTGATTTTTTATGGAAATTTAATAAAGATCCGGAATCTAGATAAGATCAAACTAGAGACAAAAATGATTCAGTAAATTAGTGAAAAAAAGTTTCAGTGCAAAATTCTCAACAACAGCCTCCAAAAAAACATAAACAACCCTTTAAAAATAAAAATATTCCAATACTTCCGGCGACTGTTGTAAACTGCAATGATAAATTTTTCAAAGTTCCTCCGAATTTTCCAGATGATGGAATGATGATTATAAACGGAATAATTAGTGGCAATATCGACGTACTTGAAGTGAACAACTGAAAGAATATTTTATTCCCGGAGTAATTCGAGGATGCAGTATACGATTGTTATTAAGATGCCATCGAGAATATTGCGCGTGTTTCTAGCGAAAAATAAAATAAGAAAATTCAGATCAACATTGTCGACGGTGAGCATTTCGTTCATGAATTCCCTTGAGAGAAATATGAGAGAAAAATATTGAAATAATGGGAGATGTAACCGATCGGCTATTCTCTTCTACTTCTGTGCATTTCTTTCAGTTCCCCATGTGCATTCCTATCAGGTGTATATAATAAAAAATTAACAATGTACTTTGCAGATGGCATTATTTGTCATGTCGGTTTTCCTCATTCACTTGCAGTTTCGGAACAATCGGAGTGAACGTAAATCGAGTTACATTGCAAATAGTCGGTGGAATCGATGAACCCAGAGGAAGGAATAAATAAACAGGGTCATGTACCCGTACACTCGTTGACACCAATGTTTCTAGTTTGTCAGGTCAACCTCGCGTGTTTTTCCTCGTACAAACTTTTCGCAGAAAAACCTATCGCATACATTTTTTTTCGCATTTGTTCAATTTACAAGCGAGAGCTACTTTAGTTCTCAAATCATTGATCGATTCGTCAATGAAGAATTCTACAGCAATTCCATTTCACGTAACATTTGTTAAGTCAATGATCAATGAATATACAAGGATCAAGTATAAAATATACTCATATCAACTATTTTTCTCCGTAAATATTGTTTCTTGGATAAAAAAAATCCCAGTTTACACCAAGTCTATTGTGATTAGTAAATGTACTTGAGAAAAAAAAATATTGTTCTCAATGTACTTGCATAATGGATCAGCAAACCTAAGAGTGTTCTCCACCCATATGTTTTCAATTTTTTTAAACAAATTATCGACGGGTTTGATGTGAAAAATTTGATGAAAAATATAACGTTTATAACTTTCATATTTTTCATATCACCTTGAAACCTCGTGAGTCATTAAATAATGACAAATCGCAGAAACGTTATATTTTTCCCTTGAAGTAATGAAAACATTAATTGTCGCTATATATATGGATGTAGAAAACCCTCAACTATTATGTTCATCGAATATCACCGTGCATATTAAATTTCGGTAATGGTGTACCTGACTAATACACGGTATGAGTAGGGCTTCCATTGAGGCTTGCGCCCTGATAATTAGCAGGGCGCTACTTAATGGCGCAATAACGATCATATAGCTCATTACGAAAGCGATCACCGTACAGTTCGCATACGTATGATCCTCTCATTACAATCATGATTGAGAATCACGACGAGGTATTCGCAAGAATAAAACTGGAGACATCATTCCATTGAATCCATCTTGCTGTGGAATCCGAGAAACTTGTGTCTGAAGGATTCATCGCTCTTACATTTTTGTTTGCATGGACATTCGGTGTTTTGTGAACGAGAAAAAAAGGTTGAATTGCTCAAATTATTTTTAGTGCTTTAACGACGAAATTTCAAGCTTTTACGATGCGCTGACGGATTTCGAATTGCATTACTCGATATCATGGCGCGATGCTCATTCATTTCACGCATCATTAAGTGGTTGATGTCTTTTTGCGAATTCCATCGGGGGCAGTGTCTGAGCTAACGGCTCATTTTTAATATGTTTCTTTTTTATTCTTCAGGTACTGTCTCTCGGTGCAGATGTTCTACCGGAGTACAAACTACAATCACCACGTGTACACAAGTGGACAATTCTTCATTACTCACCATTTAAAGCTGTGTGGGATTGGATTATTCTCATTCTTGTTATGTACACTGCTATTTTTACCCCATACGTTGCTGCATTCCTCCTTGGCGAACCTGATTACGGTAGTAAAAAGAAGGCGACTAAATACAGTGAAGACCCAATTGTCATCATTGATCTCATCGGTCAGTATTAGTCAATAAAAAATTTAGATTCACCTAAAATATTTCTCTCGGACTGAGAAAAAATTCCCAAGTTCCCAGCCATTTTAATTACCAAAGAAACATCCATTTATTTCCTCGAAATATTTTGTAATAATAAATACCAAGCATAAATAATAATAATAATAAAACTAAATTGAACTAAATGTTTAATTTCACTCAAAAGTCAATTCAATTCAATTCAATTTTATTATTGCAATATGTTTATCCTCTCCTTTTCATCAGAAACTCATAAATATGTTTAAGGCTCGGGTGGATTATCTAGAAAAGATAATTTACTCCGAAATTCGAATTCCTGATTACTTTGGCAATCAATCATTTTTTTCAATAACTAGGCCGCTAGCTAACAATTGTCAGAAAAAACGATTAATTGACGGAGTAATTAGAAGTCCCAATTTAGGAGTAAATTATCTTTTCCAGACAGTCCATCCGGGCCTTAATGTTTCAATATTTCTTTTTGGTATTCAATAGAAATTAAGTATCAAAATAAATAACTTAATAAATTTTTCGTATTATGAATCCAATGAGTGAATTCATTAAATGATTTTGAATTTATTTCTTTTATTAATAAAAATTATTCAGGATTTAGTGAGGCTTTCGGTATTGAACTATAATCTAAATACTAAGTAATTATTGATTGAAACATTGAGTCTTCAGTTTCTAGTGCTCACAAGCGATTAAATCTGTTGTCTTTGTTTGCAGTTGATGTGACATTCGTCGTGGACATACTCATAAATTTTCGTACGACCTTCGTCAATCCAAACGACGAGGTTGTCTCAGGACCATGGAAGATAGCCGTCCACTACCTCAGGGGATGGTTTGTCATCGATTTGGTAGCCGCCATTCCCTTCGATCTGTTATTATACGGTTATAATACCGACGAGGTGAGCGCAAAAAAAAAAATCTCCCACACTAATATTTCTCACTCTCCATTCCCCCACGTTATTCTCAGTTCCTAATTATTCGATCCGATTAAAAACTCCATCTGTCGAGTAATTCCATTTGATTGTTCCATAATGAAGCGATCAGTCAGATTTTATTTTTAGGTATCAACTTATTTACAATATTTAAATGGTGAATTTTTAAAATCTTTTGTTAATTATTCGATTCCACTCACAGAGCACTCAGTAAAATCAGCAAGCTCATTGGAATAAATCATGCACAATCATTTAGTAAAATTGAGAGAAAGAGTGTGTTTCATATCATGTGTGAGATAAAAGTAGAATTTGAAAATCGATGGGATAAAATACCTGAAGTATTCACAGAAAATGACAAAAAATTTAACTATAGTTCGACGTTTCCACGTAGCTTGGCTTGGACAAGGATGAGGTTAGTCATATTGAAAGGAAGAAATTGCCAATTATTCAAGTGCAAATTATTATTTATTTTCATTTGAGAGACTCCAGAGAAACATCAGAAATGATCTCTCTTATTTTATGCTAACTATCGTTTGAATTTTTGATAATGAATCATTGAAAATCAACCACGGATTTATTTACACTATTTTCATTCGCATTTGCTTTTAACTCACATTGAAATCCAAATTGTACACTTAATCTTCCATAATTAGATCAACAATTGATTTTCGTAGATTTTACTTTTGATTTTTATCTATGAGTGTTCCTTTTATCTCTTATCTTCTCTAATTAGATTACGACGAGCAATTGATGGGTGATTGATAGAGTTAAAACGACAAGAGCATAGTTTCTTGCTTTATCTTCATATTGTAATAGTTCATACGATTTTCCGCAGAACATGAGTGCTAAAAATGTGTTTGCACGAAATTTCACCACAGTCAAATAAATGTACAAAAGTTGTTGATTTCTCCTCACGATTTTCGTGTGCCACAAGAGATTCAATTTCACCTCATCTAAAATGTAACCTAACGTTTCACGTTGAACTCATCTAGTCTAGGTTCGAAATTCTCTTTTCTCACATTATGAAAAATGTGAAGCGCAAGATTAATTATCGGATCATTTACATCGCCAGCTTATTTTCTTTTGTAGAACTGGCAATATAGGATGTAAATTTTCCATCTGAACTTTCAGCTCCACTGATGGAAATGTTGTCATAGTATCACAAAACCGATTCCTCGGGAATAAATTTGTTGAAATAAATCTTTTACTACTCAAGAAATGATTTTTGTGATATGTCGATTGTTTCTCTCAGTGTACTATACTAATAATTATGTTAATCATCTCAAGTAGATTTCACATTTTATGCTTCTGCTTTTTCCTTCTCTTTAAGTCTTATTCCCACCACAATTCAATCAAGAAAGGAAACAGATCTGACAGACAGTTAATACCAATAATTCACGGAAGCCCTGACCACTCAATTTAGAAGTGTGTAAACATCGATTTCGATTTATTCTACGCTTTATTCGCAATTCTCACATACCTGAATTAGACCATAGATTCTATTTCTAGATGGAAGGTAATCAAGCGGGGGAATCCCCCATTTACTGTTATCGTATTACCAGCCAAGAGATAGCTAGTCTCTGTTACTGTGGGAGAGATTTGAATGCATCACATCAAGTGATTCAGTCCCACGCGTAATTCGATCTTGAATTCACGTCTAATTCTGAAACCATTCGTCAATTGAATGAATATGGCGACAAGTTACTTGCTCAGTGAATGAGAAAATCCTAATGTAAAATATCAACGACTATTTCATTCATTCAAATTTCATGGTCTCTATTTTCAAATTGCTTCGTCTCATGGTGCAATTCTATCTGATATCTAATTCTAGCTGATATTTCAACGAAAAAAAAATAACCCGAATACGCCTCAAGCTTCGATCCTTCTAGGTTCCCTGCAAACAAACGAGCTTGTCAAATTTTCCTGAAAAATCACTCGCGCTTCTTGCTCTTGATTTTTTAACCTGGGAAGCTTGACACGTTCATTTGTGGCATTATAAGTGATTGTTGGAATTTTTCATCGATCTTTGAGGGTCAGGATCTTTATCAATTAAACATCGAAATCGTGATAAACAATTGACTATTTTCAGACAACGACCCTGATGGGATTATTGAAGACTGCTCGTCTGTTGAGGCTGGTAAGGGTCGCTCGTAAGATCGACCGCTATTCTGAATATGGGGCAGCAGTTCTACTGCTACTCATGGCGACATTTGCCCTCATCGCTCATTGGATGGCCTGCATTTGGTACGTGTTCATTCTCCTTTATTGAAATTTATTGATTTACTTTTTCAACAATAACATGCAATCCCCGGAGAATTCTTCACTGACGAATCAGTTTCATTCTTGAATATTCCAGTAATCCATAATTTCCAGTAATGTTCAATTAATTTATAAGAATTACTGTCAGATTTACCCGACGCGATAATTAATTTCTCAGTCAATTGAAAAATTCGGAAACTCTTTATGAAGGAATGAATACATCATTCCGTTCTAAATTCTTTAAGTGATTATTTTTGCTTCCGAATGGAAGCATTGTTTTAATCTCCATTCGACTATATTATTATATAGTTGCTATATTTAAAAAATAATATGCAATTTAAACCCTTGGCAAGCTGAAATTTCGAATAAAATCATGAATTTTTCATTTTTTAATTTAGAGTATTGTCTATGGTGCAGTTTTATTAGCTGACATTTGGCTTGAACAAATAATCCTTCAAATACCACTCCTAGCTTCAAAATTTCTCAGACATTTCTCTCAGGGTGTTCTGCATACAAATGGAGTCTCGTGATTGACTCCTTTATTTATCTGCAACAAACCTATCGGGAAATTTCCGATAATTTTGAAGGTTTTGTGGTATTACAAGTGAGAATTTTCCAGCAATATAGATTTCTCATTTTCTAAATTCATCCAATTTTTGTTAATTGGCTAATTGTTAATTTTTATTGAGTAAATCTCATTTTCCGAATGATTTTTACACAGGTATGCTATCGGTAATGCTGAGCGACCGTCCCTGAAGAGTAAAGTTGGATGGTTGGATATTCTCGCCAATGATACGCATCAATTCTATTTCAATAATAACACTGGCGGACCTAGTATAAAGGTGAGGCTGACACGTCTTACTATGGGATATTGGTTTAGCGTCAGTCCTCTTTGCCCTTTTACTCTGCATAATATTCTCATCACCTCTTACGTACCTCATTCATCCAATTCTTTAAATTTCAGAGTCGTTACATAACAGCACTGTACTTCACATTCAGCAGTTTAACATCCGTAGGTTTTGGTAACGTAGCTCCCAACACAGACACCGAGAAGATATTCACAATTGTCGTCATGTTGATCGGCTGTAAGTACCATTAATACAAATTAAATATTAGACAATAGACTATTTATGATAATGGATATCGAATGAATCCACGGGTCTAGGAGAATTAGATTAATTGAGAAAAATCATGTAAAATTTGTTATTATTCCATCAGAAAATAATCCCTGCTGGTAACGCTTTCGTTTTGTCCCTGTCTCCCCAACTCATTTGAATGTTTATTAAGGATGTTCTGCCGGTATTTTGTTATTTTTCTTATTTTTCTGAGATTTATTGTAAACTATCAATCGGATTGGGATATGAAAAGCGTTTGTCCGTTACATCATGATTTATCCTTTCACAAAGTTTCATCCCGATACACCAATTTTTATAATTTTTCATTAAAATTTATTGATTTCTTATGAAATTTTAGTGAAAAGTTACAAAAATTAGTGTATCGGGATGAGACTTTATGAAAGAGTCAATCATGATGGAACGGACAAATGCTATATTTTCATATCCCAATCCGATCGATAGTTTTCAAAAAATCTCAGAAAAACAGGAAAAATAACAAAATACCAGCGAAACATTCTTAAATAAGCCGAAAAGAACCCCTAGTTATGGGATCCCCACAATTTTTGCTCTTCTGAGCGGAAGCATTGTTTTTTAACGAAAAAATGATTTTATAAAAATTTTTATTCAATTTTCTCCAACTTTTGTCATGATCGCAGAAGAATTAGGGTGCCCGATTTCTTCCGTCATTTTAATTCCCAGAAAGGCAGCCGATCCCTTTAAGACGAATCGATCATTGAGCAAGAATGAAGCATGAAAAAAAAATTGCGGGATTGAAATTGAAAAAATTGAAAAACCCCTGGCTCTTTTAATATAGGATCCATAATAACGTTTGCTATCCTTGAAAATATTCACATATTTCATTGCCATGTGGACTCATCAAATATATGATCAAAAATAGCAGAGGAATTAAGAATTATAGAAGAAATGTCTGATATTGAAATTTTTTATAACATTTGGAATGAATACTTGCAATTTTCTGCAATTGAACTGTAAAATCAGAAAAATTCTGCGAAGAATATCACATGGACTCACTCCAAATACTCTAAACGAAAAATTTGTGCTCTGAATCCAGAGGTACTTGAGATAGAATAATTTTTCCGACTCGCTAAAGTTTTTCGAGGACCAGTTGAAATGTTCCTCTGAATGGACACTCGAGTCACTGAGAAAATTATAAATTCTTCATCACAATAGGTTCTTTTGATAAAGCTTCAGGGCATCTAACAGCAGAATAAAATCCTGAGAACGCAATTCCAATGGAATCCAGAGAAAGTACTTTCCCTTGAGTATGTCACGATTCTCTGGATTCTCAAAGAACTAGATTTATAGGCTCGGAGTACTCGAGAGCTGATGAGTTACTACTTGAGAATTATTACGCGTAATTTTCATCGTTTCAGGTCACTTGAAACTTTTAATTATTGTATCCAGGGCTTTATTTCCTCCTTCCGAATCTGCTCGAGCGGCAATATTAATAGGATTTCTATAAAGTTTTAATTGCTATTTACCTTCCCGAATATTCAATATCAAAATCATCAAAAGCATCAAATATTCGAAGAGATTTATTGAATTCAGAGCTCACTAATGAATTGTTTCTCTGGAGGATCGCATAAATCTACAGGATTAAAAAAAAATGATAGAAGCTATTGGATCTCTCTTTAAGAGGTTGTTAATTTTTATCTTTAAGCTCTGATGTACGCCAGTATATTCGGAAATGTATCAGCGATAATTCAACGGTTGTACAGTGGCACTGCAAGGTACCACACGCAGATGCTTCGCGTGAGGGAGTTCATAAGATTTCATCAGATTCCAAATCCACTTCGTCAGCGTTTGGAGGAGTACTTTCAGCATGCCTGGACTTATACGAATGGCATTGACATGAATAGTGTTCTCAAAGGTTTTCCAGAGTGTCTCCAAGCGGATATTTGTCTCCATTTGAATCGTCAACTCCTCAACAACTGCAAAGCTTTCGAAAAAGCCAGCCCCGGCTGTTTGAGGTAAAGTTTTAGCATGTTAAGTTACTTGAGGTGTTAACATTTCTTAAATTTCAAAGTTAAATACGGAAAGAATCAAACTTCATCCATAATAATGGGGGACTTAAAGGGCATCCTAGTGTCACTTTCCAGAGAAAGATGATCTTTGAGAATTTTTTTAACGAAAAATACTGCATTAATGGTTTTCAAATTTTTAAGATGTATTGGTGCGTAAACAATACATACTCAATGAATTTTTTAGACAAAAAAAATTGATTTTCACCGAATTATTGGCTATCTCTCAAGTTTCGAAAAGAAGGTTCTCCACTGATAAACTAGAAGGTATTCCCTACACACTGACTCACAATTGTTTAAAAAAATGAAATTTAATAAAATGGCAGTTTTGGCAAAAACTCCAAAATTTTGCCAACAAATCAAAATTAATGTATGAACATTACATTTTTCGTACAAAAAAAAAACTGCAGGATCATTGAGTAGAGGAATATAAATTAAATATGCAGAAAAAAAATTAAATCAACCGCATGATCTGTAATGGAGTTTAACTGGCAAATGAGCAAATAGAAAAATTTAGTTTTGAAAAAAAGAATTTAAATATAAAATGATGGATTTCATCGTTATAGCTGTCAATGTTCACACCTTTTCACATCGATTATAGAAATATATGAAGACAATTGATGTCTTTAAAGTATCACACTAGGTGCGCTCCTAAAATCGAAGATGGATCAGACCATAATATTTATAATTTTTCAATTCCAATGAAATCTTCAGGAGAAAAGATTAAACTTGTGAATTGAATTGAGACAAAAAGTTATTAATTTCGAGTGAAACCGTTTTCTTTTGATGCCAATAAATGAAAATAAATAAATAAATTAAAATAAATAGCATCCGATCTCGAGGAAAATGATGATTATGAGAATGTGTATTTTCAGAGCGCTTTCTCTTAAATTCAAAACAACTCATGCTCCACCTGGTGACACGCTAGTTCATCGTGGCGACGTTTTAACGTCGCTATATTTTATATCACGTGGTAGCATCGAAATACTGAAGAATGACATCGTAATGGCCATTCTAAATCCGCCTGATATATTTGGGGAAAATCCGTGTGAGCATGCAACCGTTGGAAAGTCTTCCTGCAATGTACGAGCGTTGACATATTGTGATCTTCATAAGATTCATCGCGACGATCTTCTCGACGTTCTTGCACTTTATCCGGAATTTCATCAGCATTTCATCGAGAATTTGGAGATTACTTTTAACATGAGAGACGTGAGTCAGCCAATTTGTTTTAGTGTCTAGACATTTTAGTTGATCTGATGTTTTCCGGTGTATGCTTCGTTCATTCCGGCATATTTAAACTAATCTATCATTCTATATCTAATTATTCATTTGTCTCGTAAAATGTGAATTGTTGAATTAAGGCGGTTGTCGCGCTACAGTCTCTGTAAAAAGTTTATCCGCTGTAAAACGGGCCAGTTTAGAACACAATCTTTTAGCGGTATATAGTCTCACTTGATTGATTGCATTGTGCATGGATAGCTAAAGCATAACTATATATTTTCCATATTAACTATTTTCAATTATATAAATTTATGAATTTCCGATAATTATATTCCGTAAACCAAACGGTCAATCGATTTGATTTTTTTTCTGTATTTCCTCCCACGATGTATATTCCACGTTTTTTTTTTATTTCTGAAACTGTCGAGCCGTTGATTTTTAAAAAATTCTAATCGGCAAAACTCCATTTAAACACCTGTTAAATCACTCGAATTTCAAAAATTGATATCTCAAGTTCAAAACGGTCAATTGCAAACGGAAAAGACTCATTTTGTTGCTAATTTTTCAAACTATTCACCATAAAATTGTTAACGAAAACTGTCGAAAAAAAAATTCTACGCGACAACAACCTTAAGCAACTGCTGATTTTTTTATATATTTATATATTATGCTTTTTGGGAGAGAAAAGGAAATTTTCTTCAGAATTATATTTCATTAACCAACCATTGATTTCTCATATAGTTGTTCCGTAAATGCAAGAACATTCAAAACTATTAAAAAAGCCAAAATAACAAAAAAAGATCACTCCTGAGGGACCTGATCTATAATTTTTTGAAGAAGAAAGTAACTTTTTTTCGAAATTGAATTTTTGTGTCGATTAACCGACTGTTTCGTATATATTCACCCCGTAGATAATCTTCGAACAGATTGAGATTTTGGCGAAACATCTTTGATAATGGGCGTAATATCTGGTTTTAATAACGATTGAAACATTTTAGGAGGAACAAGCTGGCGTTGATCCAATCTCTGCACGTTTCCCAGTGAGCACACCAACGGATATTGACACTGATACGAGGAGGTTTGCTTTCCGTCCACCTAGATATCGTTATGGCCCCGGTGGTCAGAGTTTAACGAGTGCACACTTACTACCGACTGGCAGACAAGATTCTCTTCAGGATGACGCAGATGACTTGTGAGTTCTATTAATTCAATCGATAACCTAGTATCTATTGACCTGACGGTTGAGGAAAATCCATCCAATCGAGAAAACATTTTTCTACTTCCAGAACATTCATTGAGATACTTTCTGTAAAAATTCCACCTTTCCTAGTTTACTTCTCCTCGATATCTTTTAAGGACAATCTTTGGGTAATTCCTTATTTCTCCAGTTGTATGGCATTCCGTAATTTGCGATATCCTTTTTCTGCATTAACTCCACGGAAATATCATTGTTTATCACGTAATCATTGCATAATAGCAATGGCTGGATAAATCCAGCACAAAATTTCTAAAAAAAATTCGCTGCAAGATTAGTAATTATTATTAATAATATCCCCTTTATACTTATGATATAAATTGTTATAAATTATTTTTAATTGTGAAAATTGAAATGTAATTGGGACTTGCTGAAATAGAAATGATTCGACTGCAGAAATAAATTCTCGAGAAAGTAATAATTCTCTCAAAAAGATAAACATTTTGTAAAAATATTCTATTGCCAATAGTGAAGCGTTATGAAGGTCATATCGTAACTAAATAGTAGTGTTTTAAACTTTATGAAAAAAGGTAGTTAATCATAAAAAAATGTGAAAAAATTTCTCGTTTTATCGAATCAACTTTTCACTGACAAATACGAAGAGATGGGCCTGATTACGTCGCATTTGTATAAACAATTTTTCAGTGATCAAATGTTATTCGATTTATTGACAGCAGTCAGCGTGACTGTGAGTGACGGTCACATGACGGTCAGATTTTCTGACGTGATCTGAGTTTGAGGATCCTGAATTTTCAATGAATTTAAATTACTCCTTGACCATAAAAATCCAAAGATAGTAATTATTGTCGGAGGAAATATTTCGTGCTAGACCAGAGGATTTCCGAATAATCACGTTAAACCTGATTTTTTAAATTAGTGACAAAGCGAGTGGCCACGGAATTCTCGAGTTCAGTACAGACAAAGCAGGTCAAGATGTTACACCGCTCAATCTCGAGTTTGAGGAACCAAAACAGAGGAGTTCTACTTTGAATTCAATAACTGGTGAGTGAAGTTCAAGGAAAACCATTGAATTTTAAATTTCTTCACTGATTGAACCCTTTTTCGTTGATCCCGGCATCCTTATTATCTCAGTTGAGATGAATGTTTCAAAATCGAAAGTTGCGGTGTGAATGCGAATTCCTGCATGATACCCTGACGTAGACACGCCGATATTTGGGGTATTCAGCATCTTCTAACGTTTCCCTCCATTTGTTACGAATCTTTGTTCTTTCAATTATTCTTACATCCGCTTTAAGTTTTACTCCTCCCTTTTGATTATGAGAGAAAATTAAAGGCATGTTTACGGGAAATTTAGAATCTGCATGCTTTTTTTTTTATTTTCCCCTTAGAAGAAACTCCTTTTGATCTCAACTCATTAATGTATGATCAAAAACCTGGATACTTGTTATTTAATCCTTGAAATTAATGATAAATCAACATTCATTAATTTTAAGCGCTGAGGAAATCCCCGGATTATGCAAATGCGTGTAATCTCTTTCAGATAATAACAGGAGTCCCTTGATATAATCATTGAAAAGCTCTTGCGCTTTGAATGTGTGGCGTTCTCTTTTCCCTGTTTCATCGACTTCTTTACACGGAGAAAAAAGTGGCGGCAAAATTACGTTGAAACTCATGTGCTTAAGGTTGTTGTCGCGTAGAATTTTTTTTCGACAGTTTTCGTTAAAAATTTTATGGTGAATAGTTTGAAAAATTA